TCCTGGCTGTCCAGTCTGGTTTATGACAGGGAGACGGGGAAGCCGAAGGGCTATGGCTTCTGTGAGTACCAAGACCAGGAGACGGCCCTCAGTGCCATGCGGAACCTGAACGGACGAGAGTTCAGCGGGAGGGCCCTGCGTGTTGACAACGCAGCCAGCGAGAAGAACAAGGAGGAGCTGAAGAGTGAGTCTGAATTTAGGGGTGGAGACTGCACTGGTGTCGGGCTGGGCCTGGCTTTTTCCATGTTACAAAGCGTGCCTCTTCTGCGAGGCTGGCGAGGTGGGGACCTCGTGGAGCTGACCTGCTCAAAGCGATGTAGCAAGTGGTTTTGCAGAGGGATGCATGGGCTCAGCTCTGTGTTTTCTCTCGCAGATGATCTCCCTGTTTTCACTGCCTCCCTTTCCCCATAATGGCACAGTGCTTCCCTTCTGACGCGCCCGTTAAAAACGGATGGTTCACGTTGCTGTACGAGGTCACAAACTCTGTTGCAGGCTTGGGCACAGGTGCGCCCATCATAGAGTCACCCTACGGGGACCCTGTCAACCCTGAAGATGCCCCCGAGTCCATCAGCCGGGCAGTAGCCAGCCTGCCGCCCGAGCAGATGTTTGAGCTGATGAAGCAGATGAAGGTGAGTGAAGCGGAGGGCTGCACTCTCTGCGTGAGCACAGCTTCTACCACCACTTGCCCGCGCCCTCGCAGCCCCTGTCGCGCCTTGCCAGAGCTCTGATCTTCGTGTGTCTTCTCAGCTGTGTGTCCAGAACAGCCCCCAGGAAGCCAGGAACATGCTGCTCCAGAACCCTCAGCTGGCTTACGCCCTGCTGCAGGCCCAGGTGGTCATGAGGATTGTCGACCCGGAGATTGCACTGGTTTGTCCCTTGTTGCCTTGTCCAGGGTCGGTAGGATATCGGTGGTGGCCTGTTGTGGAGGCAGAGTGGAAGAGAACTCCTTTCTCCTTCTTCTGCCCCTAGAAAATCCTGCATCGCCAGACCAGCGTTCCTCCTCTGATCCCAGGCAACCAGCAGCCAGTGCCAGGGCCGGGGCCTGGGCCAGGGCCAGGGCCTGGGCCAGGGCCAAATGCTCAGCTGAACTCGCAGAATACCCCCTCATCCCAGCCACAGCCCATAGTAAGAGCCTATGCAACGCAGCTGCCATGTGGGGGAAGAGATGGGCATTGCCAGCTCCAGCTCTCCCAGCTGGGACGCGCATGCCTGGGTGTCAGGGCTTCCCTGAGGTCCGGTTTCTCTCCTGGGTAGGGTGGGATGCACGTAAATGGCGCGCCTCCCCTGATGCAGCCGCCCATGCAGGGAGGAGTGCCAGCCCCAGGACAGATGGCAGCCCCTGTGCAGGGCCCGGGCCCTGGCCCCATGGCTCCCGGAGGTGAGTGCGTGGCTTTTGGCTAAACGGTGCCCTGGGCACATGGGTCCTGCAGGCAGCCCCCCTCTACCTTCCCCTTCACCAGAGGGCTTGGCCCTGTGAGAGCACATGTAGTCCCATACCATGTACCGTGGTTGTGGCTGCTGCCAGCAGCGGTTTGGAAAGTTGGCTTATCTCTGTGGGGAACCAACACTGAGAAAATAAACCTTTGGATGCTCCCGTGGGAGTGGGGAAGGCATTTGGGGCCGGAGGAATTTGTTGGTGGTGCAGGGACGGCTGGGGAGCGATCTGATCTCTGCCTGTTCCCTCTCAGGTGGGATGCAGCCACAGGTTGGGATGCCGGGCGGAGGGCCTGTCCCCTTGGAGCGCGGACAAGGTAAAACAGACCTGGGTTAGTGCTGTGCGTTATGTGAGCCTCGCTCCTGCAGGGGCCCAGGCCACGAGTGCTGAGCAGTGCTGTGCCAAGAGCCCCTGCCAGCTCCCTGAAGCCTTGCCGTCCCTGGATCCAGGGCAGCTCCCGCAGCGCTGGGCTGCGCCCAAGTTTGTTTGCTTAGGCGCAAGGCTGTGGTAGCAGCTCTCCTGTTTCCAGGGCCGCAGCCCACGCAGCCGGTTTGCTCCTGGCTTGTCCTGCACTGTGTTGTGCAGATGTGCCCTGGAAGCCAGGAGAGCTGCCAGTCCCTGCAGAGCCCTACCGAGCAGCACGCACCTGTGTTTTCCATCTCTCTGTGAGCCCGTGTCTGTCCCTGTGCTTGAGCAGGCGGGCAGAGCTTGCTCTTCTCTGGTCCCTGTCCTGCTCCTTTGCCTGCGTGCTGGGAAGCAGCTTGTGCTGCCGCCGCGTCTGCCCATGTCTCCCAGCGCTCCCCACGCCGCGCCCGGCAGAGGGAGCTGGGCCTTCGCTTTTGCTTGCAACAGTGAGCGCGAGGCTTGGCGGGGAATTTCCCAGTGAGTGATTGCTTGGCTCTCCCTCTGCAGGCACGGTCTGTACGGCCCAGCCCCGGAGCCAGGTTCCTTACGGTTCTTACGTTGCGTGGCTGCCCCGTCAAGTCGTGCGTCAGGGTTAGCACAACCAAGGCGTTCCTGTTCTCGTAGTAATAAGGCACGTAGCTGACACCCCTGTTGCCTTGACTTGTATTGTAGGCCTTGTTTCAGGAACGTGGCAAGCTTGTTCTGAGATCCGCCGGCCCTAGGTATCTTAGGAGAAGCTGACTCTCATTTTCTTTGGGGCGGGCACCATCTTCCTGAGAGCAGCCTGGCAGTTCTTGGCGCTTTTGCTGGTACCCAGAAGATTTTGGAGAGCAGACAGGAAGCTGGCACTGGGGAGTGCCGTGGAAAGCCGCGGGCAGGGGCAGAAGCAGAAGCTGACTGGCTGTGCATTGCAGTGCGCAGCGTGGCCCCGCAGAATGCCGATTCTCTCAACAGGATGTCCTCCTGCCCCGCGCGTTCACATGGTGGGCGAGGGAAGGGCCGTGCCAAGCTGACTGTCACGCGTGTGGTGGCAGAGGTGCTGTTAATAGAAGAGGTGGATAAAGCCAGACCTGCAGCAGGCAGCATCTTCTCCGTAGGTTTTCCAGGGGACTTCAGGGAGCGGAGGTGATGCTGCAGGCAGCGCTGTCCCCAAGGCTGAGTGCATGTGTGCATACACTATTTACGTGTCTGCTCTTCTCCCTCTTTTCCTGCTGCTTGCCCAGGGAACCTGCAGCTCTCGCCCGTGGGACCTGCCAGGCCTGCGTCTATCGAACGCGTTCAAGGTATCCCGGCACCCGCCAGCTCCCTCCTCCCATGGAGCTCGTTGTGGAGTGTGCAGAGAGCAGCTTTCACCCTGCCCTGCTCAGGGCCGGGGACTGGACTATCACTCCGTAGCCTGGCAGGGTTAGGAGGAGGCAGGATTTTCCTCTGGGGCCTCAGGAGAGAACAGGCTAGTGCTGCGCACAGAAAGCCACCAGCAGAAAAGGAGAGCCTGCTTGGAGACTGCCTTTCCTAGGATCCAGCCCCCTTTGACACCTCGTTACCAGGAGCCTTCCAGGTCTTGCTTTGCTCCTGGCCCCATGTCAGCAGGGTGTCGATGCCCATGCTCGTAGGGATCGCCACGGGGGCATCCACGCTTGGTGTGGCCGCCTGGTGCCGAAAGGAGCCTGAGGCAGAGCCAG